CTGTGTCTTGTGTTTTGCTCCCCACGTGTTCCATGACCCAGTTTTTCCTCATGTGCAATTATGTCTATTGCTCCCAGGTGTTTCTCGTCATCCCCTCGTCTTGTCGTGTGTATTTAAAGTGTTTCCTGTTCTTAGTTCTTCATCCGGTTTTGAATGTCGTCTTCCTCGCCACGTGTGTGTTCCTGGTTTCCTCGTTCCATTTGTAATGGGACCATGGTTTGGGCACTACAAGTCCCAGCAGCCCCAGCGTTATATAAGGAAGTAATGAAGTTTGTTTGCTCTTTCGCTTCCGCTTTTGATTTCGGGGATGTCGTGGCGGATTTAGAATTTTGAAAAGAATGGTAGGCAATGAGATTTGTTTGTGAGAGGTGCTCTTTCACTTCTTCGCTACTTTTATTGATTGCATTCCATGTATGAATTGATGTTGTGGCAGATATAGCACTTCAAGAGAATGGCAGCAGATAAGCAGTTACGTTAAATACTGCTGGAGCTTTCTTCGAGAACTGAGCATATGATGCACCGATTAAGGAGGTAGTAGTTTTGTAATATTGATGACCTAGTTCTTAGGAGTTTGTTTTAATGATATTCTTCTTCTCTGTTTTTAGTGTTGTGGCTGGATTATTGCCTGACTGATGGTTGCCTGACTGTCCCAGCCGAGAATAGTGGATGTTAGAGGTATTGTGTTTAATATAAAGGGAGCTTTTTATGTTTTTAAAATATGTGTAGTATTTATAGTGAGTGCATTTCATTTAATTTATGTGTTTTTATATCTTTATATTCCTTTGTTGTAATAGACTGTGTTTTCCCTTTTAGGGATGCACGGTTACTGTTTACTTTAGATTTAATACTTTTGTTATTGTTTATTTCTTTTGTTCTGTGAATTTGGGACCCAGAGTGGCAGAGGAGAGATTAGGCCCGAAAGAAACTGTGTTAATAGTGACTGTGTTACAATGCTGACATGTGTTTGTGTCACCTGCATTGCACACTGTTAATTAAATTGTTTATTCTTTCATTTGAAGCTTCAGTTTTGGTTTCTTAAGCCAATGGTTACCCTCACTGTGTGGATGGCGGTAGTGAGGTGGCTGGGATTGTGTGGGGGTTTGATCCCTTTATCTTAGATTTTTATTTCTGTAGGTTTGCAGTGTGATTGCTGTGAGCTTGACTGCTGTGAGAACACTTTTTCTCTTGTGCCACTTATGTCTTCACTTTCTAGGTAACCTGTGGCCATCTATAGTTGGTTTTATTTTTGTTGTTTCTTATTTATTTTTATTTTCATTTTTTTCTCATGTGGGTATTTGCTTCAAAGATTGGTGATGTGATGTTTTAATATTTTTGACTAATACAATTTTAATACAAAGTCACTTCATGGCCCCTTTCGCCTGGTTATTACTGACCTCTTTAAGTCATCCCACCACACATTGGATGGTAATTAAAGTATCTTTGTTTGAAGTATTCTCCACGTCTCCTCGTTCCTCGCGCCATGCTCCTCACAGTAGTGGTACGTGACAGAAAACCGGACCAAGACAGAAAGTAAGCGGCGCCCCTTCTCCCCGTTTTTGTTTCCTCGTTTTTTGTTGACCATGGAAATAGCCGCTCGGTTCATTGCTCTAGCCCGTAGGGATCTCCGCTTCATCGAGTATGCCTGGGAGTTCTGCGGGCTCGCCACGGTGACGGCTTTAGATGACCCCACCATCAACTCTCTGTTCTGGTATGGGGCCAATTACCATTGCCCCGTGGACCTCCCAGGCACCACGGGACTAAGCTGGAGGGAAGGGATCCTCCGGTGTCTGGAGAGCGTCCGGCCCCGAGCAAGAACCAGCCCGCCGGCCGTGGCACTTTCCAGTCCGCCGGCCGCAACATTCTCAAGCCTGCCGGCCACGCCGTTCACCCTTAACCAAAGGAGGAGGATGAGGAGAAAAAGACTG